TATGGTTTTCTAACCCACTGAGTATTTTAAAGATCTAAACAGCTGTGGTGAACCTATGGCACATGTGCCACAGTGGGTTGTTTGTTATCATTGAAAGCTCTAAAAGGTTCACCATCACGGATCTAAGGAAAAACAAATGGCACTGCATTTAAATAAACAAAAGGTCCAAGTGATTGCTTCGTGACTTACTTTTGAAATATTTAAATTTTTTTTTTTTGGTACCAGGGATCAAACTCGGGGCCTTCCACTTTCGAGGCAGGCAGCAGAACCACTGAGCTAAATCCCTGGCCCTCATGTGTCTTATTTTTAATTAAAGTTGACTTTTTTTTTTTTAAAGTGAGGCTTGTATTTCTTTACTTTGCATTTTCCTTTTCAAAACAGCATGTTTAAATGAAAGCAATATGGGAATTCCACCTCACTCCGGAAAGAATGGCTATCATCAAGACCTCAAAAAAAAAAAATTTCTTGACAAGGTTGTATGGGAAAAAACTTTCTACATTGTTGGTGGGATCGTAAATTAGTACAACCACTATAAAAAAATCAGTGTGGAGATTCCTTAAACCATTTATACTGAAGATTGCAACTTCTGGATTTTTGTATGAAATGCATATATGTTCCTAGAAAAATTCAAGGAAAAAAAATTGAAGGGAAAAATTATTATTTTTCCTAGTTATCTGTGTTCCAGGAAAACTAAGCATTTAAGAGTTAAAAAACTAAAACTAGAAATTACACTTGACCCAGATGTATCTATTCTGGGTATCTTCCCAAAAGATTTAAAGACATAATATTGCAATGATAAATGCGTATCCATGTATATAGCAGCACAACTCATAATAGTTAAATCTTCAAAGTGGCCCATATGCCCATCAACAGATGAATGGATGAAGAAAATGGTGGTATTTATACAAAATGGAGTACTTCTCAAGTCAGCCATAAAGAAAGATAAATTTGAGTCATTTGTAGGAAATGAATGCACCTTGGACCATAATGCTAAGTGAAAAAATCAGATGGAGGTTAAGCATCACATGATTTCTTTTAAATTAGAAACCAAAATATATATAATTTAGAGAGCAAAATAAAAAATAGATGATAGGAAACAGGGAGGTAGCAAGGGGCCTCGGGAAGGCAGGAAATGGAAAGGGAAGTGAAAATGATTAGCATAAGATATTTATATGTAACAGTTCCCCAAGATGCATGTAATTATTATGTTTACAACATATGCTAACAACAATTATATACATTTTTTAAAAACCAGCATCTTTACACTTTTCTCCTTCTTACACTTTCACTATTTGTTCTCATTATTCAGCGATTCATCCCTTGTCTAAGTAAGGATTGGAGTTTTTTTTATATACAAACAGTTCAAAGGAAAAGAAAATCAACATTTTTTTCTTTACTGCCAATATAGTCTCCTGAAGCCCACATGTAATGCAATCATTTTGAAAGCTAAAGCTTTAGTTTTGCAAGTGTAAATTTTTGTTAGGAAAATAAAGGATAGTAGTTTCCTACATAGTCAGCCATGAAAGAACCATAGTATAAAATTTGTGTCACAATAATAAACTGAAATGGAGGAGGCATATTTAATGCTTTGGCCCTTCAAGTTAAATGTATATCATGCAGGATACCAGCTGGGGAAGATAATGATTGAGGCACTGTGTTGAAGAAGTGAAGAGGGACTCGAAACAATGGGACAGGATACAGGCAGGCCACAGGAAGAGCAGAGCAATCTTTGAGAAGTAGTCACTGAGTAGCCACCTTAATAGCCTCAGACCATCCACCCCCATTTAGTGCACCATTGCCTGGTGAGGGCCTGCTTGTCTCTCATGGGTCATTGTGTGGAAGTCCCATTCTTTAATGCTTTGAGACTATTCTTAGCCTACCCAAAGGTCCCTATGTGTGTCCTTTCATGTTCAGGGCACTCAAAGCTTCTCCAATTTGGTGGTTTGAAAGAGATGTGCGGGAGAGCAGACATGCTGCAGTTTCTGGAGATGAAACTGAGTCTTGCATGATTTCAGATGGACCACACCTGTATGGGTTGCATACGGGACTGCACTCAAACCTGCATCTTGGCAACATGCTCTGCAATTCCCTCAGGAGAAAGAAGGGTCAAGCAGCTTGGTGAAGAGATATTGAGCCTGCTTCTTGTGCACTTCCCTGTCTTATGGAAGATGACCATGAGGTCCTTCCTCTTCCATTCCTCCAGTGTCTATTGAGCACTGGACTTGCTCCTTGGCCTTCTTAAGGTTTAGTCCATCTGCTGGGCTATGGATTAGAGCTGGCTGCTGAACAGCAGATGACCCTCCTCCATCAATGCCATGTGTCATCTGTCCCTTCTGGATCAGTGTCATCCTGTGGGCCTGGGGATTCAGGGAGCTAACAGCATGCTGACCCTGCTTGCTCTCTGTGCAAGTAGGAAACTGGCTGACTCCATGTGAGTTGTCTCCCTCCGGGTGGAATCTATGGAATTTGTGCTGTGCCTCACAGCCCTGTTACCAACCACATTGCTGCCTGGGGACTTCTTGACTGCTTGACAATGTGGGAAGGAATATCCTGGGTGTTTCCTTGGGAGTAGGAGAAGAGAATTATGAAACCCACCCTAATTATACAAGTTACCGCTAACCAGCTAGCTTTTTTTCAGAAAGCATGATGAGTCAGGTGATTGAGCTTCCTACTATCTTAAAAATGTAAAATAAAAAAAATTTTCTTTAAATGTAAAATAAATACATAAAAAAGACACTGAGCCTGAGGACTAAGTGATGAGTGGAAGTCCTACACCAAGAGGGAAACTGATTTCAATGTGGAGAATAGACTTGGGAAGATAAGGATCTGGGAAAGAGAGAAAAAAAGGAGAGACGTGCTGATGGGAAGTTCCTCCTGATGTGTCACACTCTGGACAGCAACTTGGAAAGACTACCCTGATATAGGAAATAAGGGAGGAAAGGTTAGGGAAGATAAATTACTCTTAATAATACCATTATTCAAGCACATCTAACTCCAGAGCTTGTGTATTTTGTGCAAGACTAGCCTGCCTGTATAGAAAGATATGCCAAAAATATGAGAAGATCCTGGATTTGAAAATATTCCTTAGGATTCAAGTAATAAAGTATGGTTTGTCCAAAGAAAATTGTGAGTGTAGGATAAGGCTATTTCCAGCAAGATTTCCACCATTAGTGACTGCCTGCCCATCCCTGCTGATGAATAGGCAGACAAGAGAGTAATGCTTGCTGATAAAGAGCGAGCCTAAGCCAGGCTGCCCACATCTCACCTCCAGTTCAGCTGCTTGTCATCTCCTTGTACGCCAGTCTTTTCATCAGTAAACTTAGTATGATGATACCTACATGAGAGAGTTTTGTGGAGACTAAATGAGAAGGGCATTGTTGTGATAATGGGGAAATTTTGAATATACAGTGCATATTCTAATTGTTGTATCTACATTAAACCTCTAGAGAATGAAGATGTGAATGGTATTGTGCTAAGCAGGAAAATTCTTTGTTTTACACTAAATTCTATAGTGTTTAGGGGTGAAGCTTCATTTGTCTGCAACCTCCTCTTCAATGGTTTGGCAAAGAAGTGCGACCACGTGCACGCGCGCGCGCGCACACACACACACACACACACACACAGAGTACAGAGAGGATATAGATGTGGCAAAACATTGACCACTGGGGAGTGTAGGTGAAAGGCATAATAAGGGTCCTTCCTTACTCATCTTCCAACTTTTCCAAAGACTGGATATTTTTTCAAAATAAAAAGTTGATGCATGCTGCATCTGACAACTCTTAGCTATCAAACTGGTGTCACTCTAAGGAAAGGGCTCTTCATTTTCATAGGGTCAGCATCTGAACATTGTCTGGCTTTGCAGGAGGTGTTTATCCAGCTTACAATGAATAAAGGAGGAATAATTTTTTCTCTTCTTGTTTTCTTCAACTACCTACTTTTCTTCACTATTCTCATTTGAAATGTGCCTTCATGTTTATGTTAAAAGTGTACACTGCTGTGAAGGCTTTGTATATCAGTGCGTGCGCGCGTGTGTGTGTGTGTGTGTGAGAGAGAGAGAGAGAGAGAGAGAGAGAGAGAGAGAGAGTGTTTACCCCATTCCATCTCCTATCACATCTAAAATCAAATTGGAAAGGGTAAGGTTGCCAGAAAAAACATAGGACACTCATTTAAAGTTGAGTGTTAGATAAATAGTGAATCATTTATTTCATAGTTATGTCCCAGATATTTCACAGGGACCAAATTTTCATGGGCATACTTGTACTAAAAATTTTAAATTATTTTTCTGTAATGCAAATTCAAGCAGGCATCCTTTATTTATATTTGTTAAATATGACAACTCTCAGAAAAGCTCTTCTTTTCCTTAATGTATAGGGCTGACCCTGCCCACCAGCATGATTTACCCAAGAGAAAGTGTTTAGAGTTCTTCTATGTGTTATACTACAGTGGAAATACTCTCACTTTTCTTCTTAATTATAATACATTTGAAGGATTGCTTTTTATTTGTGATAAAACCTATAGATAGAACATACATACAGATCACATAAAAATACATGAGGATGATAATCCACCTTAATATACAATGTTGGATAGGTGGTGTGATTAGCAATTACACATTTATTGTTTACAGCATCATAACATCAATGGGTCTCTCCTCAGAAGTACTCATGTATAAAGAGTACATTTAGGCAATTAGTAATAGAATGAACACATTGCAAATGCTATTTATAGAGCTACAACCTCAAAAAGTTCAATCTAATTCCATCTTCTGGGTTTGTGTACTGCTTGATAAATGCTCCTGATTTACAACAACCTTTCAGAAACACAGCAGGGAAAAGCAACAAGAGCCTGTAGTGGCAGAGCAATTACAGAAACTCACTTAGGAGCAGCACTGCCATTCCATGCCATTCCACGCACACTGGATACATTGCACTTTCCTGAGGTGACTTGGAAACTGGTAGCCAGCTGTAAGCCGGCACAGTGACTCCATCCCAGACTGGCCTTCACTGGTGGTAGTAGTAATCTTGACCATCATAGCCATCATAGCCTCGGCCTTTGTAGTAGCTGTACTCATCTTCATAGGCTCGGTAATTGTCCCCACGCGGCCCCCCGTTCTCATTGTCATACACTTCATACCCAGGGTCGTATTCATTGGCACCTGTTTGCTCGTACTCAGCACCATACTCAGCTGTGGTGGTCTTTCCATAGGGTGGGGGGGTGGACCCATAGACCTCGGGGGCTGGGGTTGTGGGTTCAAACACACCATTTGGAGAGGGTGTTGTCTTTGAGCTGCCAGTGCTCTGCCCTGCAGACATGGTGGTTCCGGGTGTGTTGGCTTCTGTGACACTTTCTTTGTCCCCTTCTTCTCCATTGTCCGCACCACTGCTGCCATTGCCATTCTCCACCTCCGTGCTGTTGGTGCTGGTGCCGTTCACAGCTTGTTCATTTCCATCCACTTCTGCTTCATTATTCTCATTTTCATTCTCTTCCTCCTCCTCTTCTTCATCACTTTCTTCTTTTTTGGTAGCCTTGTTTCCTATATCCCCAGCCTGGAAGGAAAGGTTTGAGGGGATCCAAATTTAAGTGTGAAACAGTTTCAACTTAAGGCCATTGCTGCATGCCACGCAGTACTGTATGCCAACAGCCTTGTTCTGGTTGTCACTGAATGGGGGCTGCTCCAACTCACCAAAGGTTGGTGGGGCTCTGACCCCTCATCATGACGACACTGGTAACGTGCTTTGTGTGGGGAGATGAGCATGATAAGCTTTCTCGGGTGGAGATACTTACCATAACTTTCCTACTCACTTTCTCTGTCCTGAAATCCCCTCCCCTGAGAGGCAGTGTTCCCTCTAGGACCTTTTATCTGTTTTTCATTGACTGTTTTTGGTCTTCTGTTAAAATGTAAAAAGTCATGTAATGACATGAGGAAAGAACTGCCTGGGAGGAGATCTTTCCTTATTTATATATAGGGAAATGATGCCTGTTCTTGCTTTTTCAACAGATTAATGGACATAGTATCAACCACCATGAGTGTAGTGTGGGAACAACCTTGGACTTCCATAAAGAAAAGAAAACAGACTTAACCTCCCAGAGGAATTATTACCTTCTTTGGAAGTTGGATTGCAGCTAACCCTATGTAATCTGTTCCAGGAGTGGTTTCTTCTCCATAGCCAGGTGTTATGGTAGAAAGTGTGGTGTTCTCAGCCTCAGAGTCTTCATCTTCATTCCCGTTAGAATCTTCATTGTTTTCTTCTTCATTTGAAGTCTCCTGGTGAAAATATCCATAGCAAAAATACTTACTGTAGCTGGAAGATAGCTCAAGATTTATTGGAGCTGTGGACCACTCTTTTGAAAATCTTTATATCCCTTGGCCGCTTATCCTTCTGCTTCTGCTTTTGACATTTGTACTTCTCAATTCTAAGAACTCCAAGTTATCTAATCCTATTTGCCACATGAAAGTGCATTTTACATTTTTCTGCTTTCTATTTTACCAATTCAAAAGTATTTGTGTTTCAAACACCTGACACAAAGTCACTTTTTCGGTAGGAAATAGAAAATAAATAGTCTAAGAAATTCTTAGTAGTGTATTATATTATTGCTTGAAGACTTACACTGTTCAATGAATGCTTATGTTTGCAAACATTATACTAATCTATCTTAATTCCATCCTTTTAGGGAGTTGTTTAATTGAGCTAATTTCCAAATGTAACTCTTAGCCAATAATAAAAGTCAAGGGTTTATATATAGAGACCTTATTAACTTTAAGTGAATACCGGAAACTAGATTCATTTTAAATGATTTTAGGAGATTGTAATGTTAAGATAACTTTAAGATTTCAAACAAACAAGCAAACAAAACCCAGATTTAGCTTGTCTTATTGACACAGAGTGACCAAAGCAGAATATTTTTGTTTCATTAAATTTGTAAATTCTTCAGTTTCAATGAAGAGTCTTACTACTACCAGAGCCTACTCCATAACTATGTCATAGCTAATTGTGTCCAGTCCCCACAGATACGATTTTGTCTCTCTAGGTTTTCATTTTTGAGCTTTATTCAACAGACTAAACCTTTGAGTGGTTTGAGAAGTTATTAGCATGCCTGGAAAGAGTCTTAAGCATATACTAGCTGCATCCTGTATCCTTATTTCACAGGAGAGGAAGGCCGAGGTCCAATGAGATAAATGATTTGTGTGTAGTCAATTAGATGACTGAAATAAACAAGTATTAGTGAGAATGTGGAGAAACAGGAACCCTCACACACTGACAGTGGGAATTTACATCATTATATCTGCTTTGGAAAGTTGATTGGTTGCATCTACTAAGGTGGAACACATATACATCCATTGGTTCAGAAATTTCACTTTTGGGTAAATGGTCTCCATAAGGGAATGCAGATATTCAACAGGAGTTCTGCAATGTTCATAGAAATATTCTTTCTAATAGCCCTAACTTGGAAACTACCTAAATGGTCATCAACAGAAGAATGATACATTTTAATAAATTCACACATGAAATTCTGACAATAAGACTGAGTGATTTAAAATGACAGAACAATACAGATGAATCTCTGAAGCTGAGAGAAGAAAACACACATAGAAGAGCCCATGTTATGTAAGCCTATATATATATAAGTCCCCAAACCCGTTAGAATCAGAATAGTGGTTGTCAGAATACTGGGGGTCAATTAATGAATAGAATGGAGCAGAAGGCACATGCTACTTTTGTACATGAGTGCTGATTTCACTCATCTGTTCTGTTTCTGAAATTTCAACGAGCTACATAACCATGACAATTTTCTTGTGTGTTTCAGCATTTTCAAAGTGAGGTTAAATAGTTTAGGAGTGGACCAAAAATGTATGCCCAGGCATCTTCCTCACGTGACTACAATTCCTGGGGATTCTATGTTTAGCCTAAACTGTCTCTGAAATTTTGGAGAAGAAATGAGAAAGAATGCCTTTCCAAAATCTCTTCAGGGTAGAAGATTTCCGTTTTTTATCCATTCACATTTCTATTATTATTATTAATTATTATTATTATTATTATTATTATTTTGTACTGGGTATTGAACTCCGGACCTTGCACTTGTGAGGCAGGCAGTGGAAACACTGAACTAAATCCCTGGGCCCTCAATTATTATTATTTTTAACGAATGATCGCTGTTCCTCTGAAGTTTCAAAACAAAACCACCAAATATTTACTGGGTGCCACATATGTGTAAAAAAATTATGCTAGGCAGTGTGAGGAGATCTAAAAGAGGGTGTAGCTCTATTCTTCCCTCAAACGCTATTCTAACCTCTGATCTACTACATCAAGAGGAGCTTGTAGATAGGATCTGGGAGGATATATATGTTCAGAGGGAGGTTGGCAAAATTTTGCATGTGCATGACTTCATTAGAGACCCAATCTTCCTCCATCCTCATCCACTACCACAAATGAAGAACCACAGTCAGAAGATAAGCAGTCTAATCAGGAAATGTAGCTGTAAAGGTAATTTTATGATCACTGTAAGGCAAACAGCTGTAGTTAGATAGATAACCCTAGCTTAGTTTTTGTGGAAGATTGCTATGTGAAACTCCAGGGAGAATTTTGTGGGATTTAGTAGGTGGCATTTTTCCTAGTACTGGCGGGGCATTCTTGTAAGGTCTCCCTTTAAGCTATTAGTGTAATTAGGGTATGGGAAATGGTACTTAAAAAAAAACCAAACTAATAATTTGTCACCTTTCATGTTCCCACAGCAGTTTTGTTTTCAAGGTAGCTGACCCTTATATGTAATCTCTTTTTTTACTGTCATTGTCTATTCATGAGTACCACCCAAGAATACCTGAATTTAGAAGTTTCCAAACCAGTGCATAGCTAAAATTGACTATCCAGGAAAATGCATCCTAATTAGTATGTTTCCTTAGGCAAGAGTGTTAATTATAAATAAGATAGCACAATTTCCAAGATATGTAGATTAATTTTAGCCATGGACTACACTAATTTGTATAACTATTTAGGAAGATGTGTATATATTCTGAGTGTTTTAATTTCCATAAAATGTAAATTTTATTATTACACAAAATGTTCATGAAATTCTCATTTAAAATGACAACCCAATTCTGTTCATTATGAAAGGCAGATGAATGACAGTACCTTTCTAGATGATATCAATTGGCGTTTTTAGACTACCAGCTTAAGAAACTGAATTTCTAAAGTTTAGTCCTTAAAACAAGTATTATGTTGAGTTTAGGATAATTATTTACTGGTCATCTCCCATCATGTTCACTCAGGTTTTCATCATCCACGTATATATAAATACTTCCTGTTGTTTTTCAGCAGATTTTATACTTCTTTCACTAAAAACAGAGACATTTTTGTTTTTGTGTACCATTCATAGGTAACTTTAAACCCAAACTGTAGGAGTGTTTTAAACAGGTTATTTTAGTTGATTTTAGTTAAAATAACATCCCTCTTGTTCAAAATAGTAGACTGTGGGCAGTTAGTAAAGTGGCAGCAGCTATTTGCTAAGTCCAGATTACAGTAGACTACTTTCCTATTTGTTTTTGTGCTGCCTGGCTTGTTTTGTAAAAAGACTAAAAATTTCTTACATCTTCTTCCTCCTCTTCTTCTGAACTATCACCATTTCCATTTTCTTCAGAAGAGTCACTATTACCCTAAAGAAAAAAAATATATATGTGTATGTGTGTACATATACAGTCAACATCAACTAAAATTTCCCGCTGTTTGAAATAAGATAAAATAAAAATACTGAAACTGATTAATATCACCAGTTTGAATGAGTTATTCACTTAGAACATGTCTCATACTAATGTGAGGAAGGTATTTGGCATTTATGAAATTTTCAACCCCACAGCATTGACACTATGTTGACACATGTTGTATGGAAAAACTAGAGTAAAGAATCACAGGATTGTTCCAATATGAAAGAATGAAGGAATCATTAGGTCCAGTGTTTTAATTTTACAGAGAAGGAATCAGAGGTCAAATTATGATTTTTCCTGGGGCTGGGGATTTAGCTCAGTGGTTCCGCCATCTGCCTCCCAAGTCCAAGGTCCCAAGTTCGATCCCTGGTACCAAAAAAACTCCAAAAACAAAAAACAAAAAACATAAATAAAATGATGATTCGGCTTATTATCAAGTGCAAATTGTTACTAGATGATTCTCTTAAATAATGAGGCCTGGGTGAATTTAAATCCGAATGTTATTTGAAAGAAATTAAAGTGGTATCTGTAATCTTTCCACCTAACTCAAGCTATTTTTTAAAAATAAGGTTAATTTATATATATGAGGTAAGTATATAAAGAAAACTACTCATTCAAGAGATTCACAGAATAGCATTCCTTAAAGAGGTTAATAAGAAATGAGAATAAAGTAACCCAAAGAATCTGTATGTAAAAATGTAATTATAAGTTAATGAGTTTTACAGTTTTTCAGTGCCTGTATCCAACCCAGAGACTCATGAATCCCAAGCAAGTGCTTCACCACTGAGCTACATTCCCAGCCCAAGCTTTACTACTTTTTAAAAAAGGAAATGTAAATCTGAATATGTGTTATCAACCTTAAAGACAACAGAGGAGATACTTTATCTTTCTACCAAAGACAATCCAAACCAAATATGCAATTTTCCTATCTTTTCTGCAGCTACTGCTAAGGGTACCAGGCATCAAATGAATAGTCAGCTTCAAATTCTTTCATTTCCTGCCCTGTACATTTTAGCTATGGTTCTGATGTCCCAGCCATATGTCCCATGTGGAGAGAACATGGTTGCAGAAAGCCCCTGAGCTCTGCGTTAGAAATCATGTGGGAGAAACACTCATGTTGTCCTTCTGCCAGGGCTGTCCCTACCAGCCTCACTCACAGATGGCCACATCATCCACTCAGGGAAAGGGAATGTTTGTCCCTCCAGCCAAGAATAACCTCGGGTGGAAAGAGAATAATTAGGTCTCCCTTCCATGCTCTGACCTTAATGGTTGTGTCTTCAACCCAGAGCAGGCATGAAGCAGATTATTGTATTTGAACTATTTCTACTTGTTAGTTAAATTAAATATAGCAGACAGTATATTTACAAATCAGAGCTGTTTTTCTCAGCAAGAGTGTTCTAGCCATTCTACATGCCTCCTCACCTCTGGCTTTCTCCCTGGCTCAACCATACCACCCTTCAATCTGGGAGAATGACTTAAAAGCTGTTGCAATGACTTGAAATATTGACACTTCCTTTTTCCTCCCTTGCTTTCATTTATGCCCTATTGCCAATTTATCGCTTGATCCTACTGGTTCCTCCTAGCAGATAGGTAAGCTATAGGAGACTGCTGGTAGCTGTGTAATCCACATGACATATTTCAGGCAGGTTGGTATTTCAGAAATGATTGTATACGAACACAGATTTTTCTGAATAAGACAAAAATTTCAAAGCCTATACAGCTTAATGCATTTGAAGGTGACAATTCTGGACACTAAATATCTAATTTAATATATTTAAGGACCTTCAAATTTTGCAAAGTAGGAAAATAGGTCATAAATACTGGCTTGATGGGTCAGTAGATATGTTTTATTTTTATTTTAAAGTAATTATCAGACAAACTAAACATTAGTTGAGATAAACCTACTACATATAATTGGTGAAAATTTTGTATATTAAGGTTTTTGAAATTTGGATGTATCAATAATGAAAATTTAACTTCTCCCGATATCATTTTACTATGGATATTTTAGTTGAACCACACATATGTACTCATAAAAATATCTAGCTGAGAATGCATATAGCTAAGTATCAGATACTTCAAAAAAAGTTGAGGAGCTAGTCAGAAACTTGAATTTACTTTTTTGTTTAGTTTAACACAGAGAACAAAGTTCCAAATGAGCAGTTTATTTCTGGGCCTGAGGTGAACCAAGCAATAGAAGACAATTCAGAAAACCCGCAACTCTTATTTCATTTATGCTCATATTTCTGTGGCTTCACAAACTCCCCATAATTATGATGGTGCTAGAAATACTTTAAAATGGCCATGTCCTACCATTGTGTGAGTTAGTGGGGTCAGCCTGACACATGGTAAGATGCAGTGCCAAGCCACTATGCTAATGCAGCGATTTGAGCATCTCAGCTGCTTTTAGGGTCCCGGGAGTCCTGGGTCCAATGGTGCTAACTGATTCTCAGAATCTAAACTGTTCAGTAATAAAAATAGTGGAATCTGGTTTGCTGCATATTTAAAGTCAACACCACAGCCTCTAGTTTTCAAAGGTTCTCTTTACAGGTAACCTAGTAAAAATGGAAACTCTTATTTTTGGTATTAGTTATTTTCCTTTTTATTTACAAATTTTAGGGATGTTTTGGTTTTCTCACAAGCTATTTGATGCACTTTGTGAATTTCTCTCTTCCCTCTGCAGTTCTTGAGCTACAGGTCCATTATAACTCTGCTGAAATATGTGACATACAGCTCTGTCAACTGTACAGGCTAAATTGTCCTTATCAAAGTGTCTTTTTAAGGTTACTGCTATTTATGAAACCAATTTTTCTCCTTACCAATTAGAGAACTCTGATTGTCAGATATAAAACAGCTGTGTGACAGTATTGACTGAATTATCATGTGACAATGAACTTATCATGGGCTTAATTGTGAATGATAGAAAACAATTTGCTTTTGTCTGTAAGCCAAAACACCTGAACTCCATATGCCAAGGTGTTTGGTTTTATGTCATTCTAGATTGGGGCCTAAATGATTTATGTGTGACTATCTCTGCTTTAAGAGAAAACTTAGAAATTGACTTTATTATGTGAAAAACAGCTTTCTCTAATAAGCAGTCTTTCTGGGTGAATTCATGCGAGTTGAATTTAAGTGTTTTGATGTTAAATTTGATCACTTTAAATTGCAATAGAAAAAAAGAAAATAAATTTCTATGCTTACCTGAACTGCAAACTGTTTCAGAGGAGGGTAAAAGTAGCCATGCTTATAAAGATAATATCGTGGCCTGTACTTAAAGACCTGGACAAACAAAATAAATGTTATATTCATTTTTGAGACTCAATAACTCCAAAGCAAATCTAGGCCAAAGAACTATGATGACGTTAATTACCCCGTTTTCTTCAGAATCTTCTAACTTGAATCTTCTATGCAAATTTTTCATCTGTTTTAAAAGGGCATTTAATTATTACATATACTCTTTTTTACATAAAAAAGACAAAATTGGAAAAATAACTATTAGGTTTTTATAAAGAACTTACAGAGAGTGCACAGGCCATCCCCAAGATGCTGAGCAAAATTAAAGCAGTCTTCATTTTGATGATGATTTCTGAAATTAATGAAGTGGTGAGGTTAATAAACATTAAAATTAAGTGCCTGCTTTTTTGCTCATATCTAAAGACAAAGTGTTTAATTTGTTCTCACTTCTGTCTAATCAACATTTGGGCTGATTAAAACCAAATTTCTTGGCTGGGGATGTAGTCTAATGGGAGAGCACTTGCTTAGCACATGTAAGGCCCTGGATTCACTCCCCAGCACAAAATCAAAACAACACACAAACACACACACACCCCCCAAAAAAACCCAAACCAAAACAGAAAAACATATTTCTACATTTGTTTTCAAATTGTTCCTTCCATTTGAGTTGTAGAAGACTGACTCTGGCCTTCTGAGTTCTGCTGAGTTTCATATTTGCTTTTAGCCTCTTTTGCTGTGACCTGTCATTGGAAGACTATTTCCTCACTGCAAGGGGCTATCGCTGACATGGGCAATTCAGCTATGAAGACTGAACTGTGGCCATAGTTAGGCACGCTGTTTGTTTATAATTAAAAACTAGGCAAAACTTGAATATGTTTAAATGATTGCTTTTGTGCAATGAGCTATAAACACTTTCCAGCTTTTGGACATAGGTTTTGCAATAAAAGTTCATTTGTAAAATAGGAGGTAGGATCTTTATCCTATGAATATCTTGGAATACTTCTTTTGTGTGTGTGTGTGTGTGTGTGTGTGTGCATGGCCATACGTGTGTGGGGGCAGGGCATGACATATGAAGTACTGTCCTCATAGCATATAACACTCAATAGCCATGCTATGAGAAAAGTTCTTCAGAGCCTCCTCTTGGGAGATCAGAGATGATTCAAAATTAGACTGGTCTACAGCTCCATTAGGTTTTTCATCTGCTAGTGTGGGAGACTCTAATAGGTTGAATCAGAGATCCTGTTGGGTGCTAGGCATGGATGGAGACTGCAATCTTATGGTACAGTTGATGCAGCTCTCAAAGTGGGATTAGTTCCTAACAGCACTGGGCTTTGCAGCCATGTAAAGATCCTCACTTCCTCACAGATTCCTCACAAGTGAGAGGAGGTAGTGAAATCCTATCCTATTTTAATTTTATTGTATTTGATAAAATTCTAATTAAAAATTCTATCATCTAGAGGTTGAACAAATTTAGCCAAAGGCTTGCTAACATCTGCTGACTTGCATTTACATACATGTAAGTGATGGAGCTGTCTTGTACCTAGTGACAGTTTGGGAGTATTTTGGTAGCAATGGGAAACAATGATGGCAATGTTCCCATAAGCACACCTCAAAAAACAATAACTAAAATGTCCAAATTCCATGTAATATATTGTACTCTGCAAGTAGATTTTCCCATTTTGTCCTCATCACTCAAGATCCGTTGCATCCATATGGAGTATCTGACCCTAACATAAACATACACAGAGTAAGTTGTGAGGCCTGGCTCCTACATCACTCTCCATTTGTGTGGCAGAGTGGACCTACACACTTCCTCACAGTCCACCTGCTAAAGAAGCTTGCGTAGCTATGGTGGAGCTTTGAAAAATGCTTTGATCTTTGCAGCCCATAGTGGAGCCCAGCAGCAAAACCAAAGATTATTGCCATTCAGCACCACAAAAACGCCTTGGATAATATTTATAATATTTTATAAAACTAAAATCTTAAAACATGTAACTCTAGAAAGAGTTAACGATTACATAAATTTCTCATAAAAGTCATAAAATAACTAGATGAAAACATGGCAGGGACAATATTTTTTAAAGAACTAAGTAATTTATGTGTATGGCAATTGCCTGCCCCATAAATCTCATTTTATTTACTTTGTGATTCATCAAAAAGCAGGCATCTGTAGTGACCACTACTAACTCAGACAATTCTTCAAGGATTATTTTGACAATCTGATTAGAAGTTTTTATTGGGAAGAATATAATAAGTTACCAAAATAACTTACTTCTTCAGTACCATATTTTTCCATAATGATTTTAGAGCTATAGGATATTAACACCGTGAAACCTAATATATAATACCTTAAATATACCTGAAGTACAGACTTAATTACAGGTATAATTTATGGAGAAATAAGCATATACCCAGGCAAAATTACAAATGCAAAATAATATTTCAGCCAATTTATCCTGAAAGCACCATAGTGAGAAAACAAACAGCACTCTATCATGAGCAGAAATAGAAAGCAAGAAGCATCATTTTCTAGTTCATGTTCATAATATTAAGAGCTTATTTACATACTTAGATTAACAAGCTAAGCCCTTTGGAAAGAAAATAAAATCAGAGGGACTAGTTTAAGGGTAAGCAAATGATAAATCACATAGCTGTTCTACACAATGCAGTGAGATTCACATTTAAATACAAACTCAAAGCCAAGACAGAGATGTGAGTGTGGAGTGCCTGGTCCTAAGGCAGGAAGCTGTCAGATTGAGTCTTACCCTGTGGCAATGCTGGAGCAAGTAGACAGGCTGACCAGTGAGGGACACAGATTGAGTGCCTCCTCTGCCCTCACACTCATTCACTTGCTCTTGCTCGCTATAAACCTTTCTTTGCCTTTCAGCAGCCAATCACTGTCGTGGCCAAGGTGATGTCAGAATGTGGAGTCTCACCAGAATACCCCCAAACTTCAACACTTTTTCAAGACACAGGCTCTGTTGAATAAACATGAAACGTAGTCCCAGTGCCAAGAGGTTTGCATTGTGGAATTTAATTGAAGGTTTAGATGAAGATGAATAGTTTGAGTTCCAAATATATATAATAATATACTGGATTTGAATTAAAATAAATAGCAAAAGATTTAACCATTTAAAAATTTTATAATTACTCAAGTTTTCATTATGTTGAAAGAAAGGAAAACTTGCTATCATCAGACACAATTCTGCATTGGTGAAAGAAGAAAAAAAGAAACCAAATAATAAAGGAAAGGAGCTCAATAATAAGTTTTTTAATATTGATTATTTTGTTTTTATTGCTGAAATATGCTTCAGCGACTCATGTCATGATTAATCAGGCTGTATGAGATATATTTGCTTAAACATGATGCTGAGAATAAAATTTAAAATTCTTTTGAGGATTCAGCTACTAAGAGGCAGATTTAATTTTTGTAAAATAAATTTTTTAGATCTTTCATTTATGTGGCCCCTTTTGTCACACAAATGAGGTTTCATTTTACTTTGAAGGGGGTTCTGTACAGCTCTTGCTATTCATTTCCATATATTTTTCTATCAGTGTAGAAAAATTACTAAATCTGGCAGTAGTAATCCATTACTATTGAAATTATTCATGAAAACCAAACCCCACTAAGTAGATTGGTAGGCGAAAGTATTGATTTTTTAATTTGCAAAGGGAAATCTAGCTAGTCTGTGGTTTGCATATTTTTCTTTTTCCAGTCTTTTCATTCTTCCTCTGATCATAAGGTCTATTTCCCAAGAATTAGAGAAACCAAACTTAATACATATCATTGTGTGCCAGTCACCTGTTAGAGTCTTTGGATGACTTATCCAAAGAAAGGTGTTTCATCAAGGTTGCTTAGAAAATGTAGAGTCATAAAATATTAGTTGAATGGGTTCTTTCAATTAATTTAATCCCATAAATTTAGTTCACTTTACTGATCCTTGAATTACAGAGTAGACTGTGTTATAGGATAGCATAAGAAGAAACAAAAAACAAGAACACATTAAAAGAAAAACCCTGTCCTTATCTTTAAAACTTTCAAAGCTGTGTAGGGAGAAAACTATATAGCTGTAGGGCACAACAACTAAAATATCTACAAGGTTCAGAAGTGCAATGGAATACAGAAGTTCAATTGGACAAAAGAGCAACAGAGCAGGATCTTTACAGAGATTAGAAATTGCCTAGGTTATCAAGAGGGCAGAGATTATCAAGAAGGAAAAGGGAGCAGTTGTAGGAATGGACGCAAAGGATATGAAAATGTATTAAACCAAATATATTGCCATGTCATACATATTGGGGCTCACGTGCTAGTTCTTCACTTGCACTATTTCACTCATTACACACACACACACACACACACACAGAGAAAGAGAAAAAATATCTGAGATTATTCCCACTATTCAGATGAAAAAAGTGAGCCATAGTAATGGTGTGTCCTGGATTGTATACCTAATAAATGGAGTAATCAAAAAATCAAAGTCAAGTCTAATTCTAGAGCTCACAATTACTGCATATCTTCGCTGGCACATTCAGAAAACTTCAAGAATTCAGTACACTGGGATTTGGTGGGTGGAAGCAGCAACAAATGAGATGATGGAGAGATCTGCAGGCCCCACTAGCTACTAGGGAGCTCATAATAGAAATTGAACAAACCAAAATGTTAAAGCAGAAAAATAACATTCAGGTTTGCAGTTTGGAAAAATCATTTGATAAGAATGCAGAGATGGGTGAGGAAAGCAAATTGTTATGGGGAAAGACAACTTGAAAAAACTATCTTAGGGGCTGATGAAAACCATATTAATTCTGAACTCAGACAGTACTAGTGAGCTTGGAGAGGAGGGAACAAATGAGAAAGACAGTATCCAAAGAACTCAACAGTCATAAGAGAGGAGGCCTTCTGCATATCCAGCTTGGATCATTTTGTGAGTACTGGGATCATATTTTACACATGTTTCATGGAGTACTCACTAAGTTACAGTCATTTGGCAAGCATTTGTTGACAGTGATGTAATGATATAATGACTGGTAGAGGCTGAGAATCAAAAGACTGGAGTTTTATTCTTGACTTTCCCACTAACTTAATTTTCTTAGCTACTTTCAGGTTTCAATTTAACTAATCTTTTAAACACTGAGGATATCTAGACCAAAATAAAATTTTAAAAAGACCAATATTGTGTGTCTCCCTCACCCAGAGAGCCTGCGGGCCAAGTAATTGGACTTCAGTGACCAGATCTTTACCAGGTTAAAGGAAACACAAGTATAGAAAAATATGTAAAATGACTCCGCTGGGATATGATCAGCAAAGTCCAGAGGGGAAGAAACTTTACTAGATACATTA